CTAGGTTCTCCAGCCAAGTTCTGTCCAGGATCTCCAGCCAGGTTCTGTAGCCATGTTCTCTCGCTAGGTTCTCCAGCCAGGTTCTCCAGATTCTCCAGCCAGGTTCAGTTGCCAGGTTCTGGTATTTTCCATTCTTTATGGGCTGCCTTTGAAAATTAAGAAGCCTTGCTGTTTCCACAACATTCTAAAGTTGTGAGCTACACCAAAGGCACAGCTACCCTTATACCAGTGATGGTGAACCTATGACATGCGTGTCAGAGGTGACATGCGAACTCATTTTTTTGGTTGATTTTTCTTTGTTAAATGGATTTAAATATATAAAATAAATATCAAAAATATAAATCTTTGTTTTACTATGGTTGCAAATATCAAAAAATTTCTATATGTGACACGGCACCAAAGTTAAGTTAGGGTTTTTCAAAATGCTGACACGCCGAGCTCAAAAGGTTCGCCATCACTGCCTTATACCATTGTAATAATCTGGTTATTATTGAACAGAAAAGGAGCAAAGGGGAAGACTAAAATAATATATGCATGCCATACAGCTTTGCTAGTTTAACATTCTCCAAGTCTATTTCCCCGCTGACCAATGGGGGAAGGGATTGGACAAAGGCAGTTTAGATGCACACCGGTAAGGTCTGAGTGATGTGGAAAGGTGCTTACCTGTCTGTCAATCACACCTGGAAGCGAGTCAGTAGCCAGGAGGGCGTGGCCACTGCCAGCATGCAAAACGTGAATATTTAAATTTCTAGACAAAGGACCACGCTCTTTTCTCTTGCCTACACTCCTGTGACTCCTGTTGCAGGGGCTGCACTCCCAAGTCCGTGTGGTCCACGGCCATGTGGGGCTCCACACAATGAATTAACAGACTTTAATGAGCTTGGATGCTACCCTGACCCGCCTCCAATGTGGAACAGACACTCTGGACACCGGCCCTCCTTTGGCTCTACTGGAAGCCCAGCCACACCTTTCTCAGGACTGGTTTAAGGGGCAGGGGACTTTGGAACCCGAGGAATGTAACTCCATGCAAATAAAGCCTTTACCACATCTCATTCTCTTGTGCGAATCTTAGAAGACTCATTTTCTAAAGGTATTGTAGGAACCTTGTTCCCACGAGTGACAGGGAAGTTTGTATCTCCAGGAACACTAATGACAGGGGCAGAAATAGAATGATGGGGACCAACTAGAATTTAAGAAACATTAATCGTGCTCTGTTAACCGTGATTGTTTTGTTCTGATTGAAGAAGGCACATTCTAACTGTTGCATCCAAGGACCTTGGAGCTCACCCGGAAATGCGACCCCTCCTCCACACCTGGGAGCCGCCTAGTACCATGGAAAGATTAACAACCTACTTGCAGAAACCAGACCCCCCCACCCCCCAACCCTTTGCATACCCGCAGGCCTTTGCAAAAGCCCAGCCTGCATTACCTGTAAACTGCCCATTTGGCATACCCTTTTGCCTACTTCCCCAAGTAATTGTCCATCTACCCAATATAAGCAACTGGCCTATAGTGGGGGGCAGAGCAGGTTTCTGTGGATGACCTGCTGCTCTCCCATACTGCAGGCACTATTGGAATAAACGCTCATCTATAATTTAACCCTGTCTCTGCTGAATTGGCTCACATAGTGAGAGGTAGCCTGGACCCACTGATGATCCGGTTACAAGTCTATTACTAAAAAATATTGGCAGTCACAGGAATGGCTGATAACAAGGTATGTGGATGTGGAACTGCAGGATGTCTGGGAATAACTCCCATTTTTAGCTCTGAGATTTTGTACAAATCTCCATTTTTTCTACTTGGTTTATTTATTGGAAAGATAGGAGAATTACAGGGGCTCGTACATGGAATTATAAGCTCTCCCTTTTTTATGGTAATTTTAATTTCTCCAAAACTATTAATAAGGAGAAGGGGAAATGCCTTCTTGTAGTCCTCAGAGCAGCCCTGCTGGTTTCTGTTTGTGTCTGTTTTTAAATCCGATTTCAGTTTCCTGTCACCCTCACAGTGGACAGACTTCTTCACAGGCGTTTCTTGTGGACCTCATTTGGAATCCTGTTGCATTGGCTCCCAGAAACCGGAAGGTATATTGATGGCAATGGGTAAGTGAAAGGACAGAAACCAGGCCTCTCCTTTTCTCTGGGGGGGGGGGGGGGCTTCCCCCAGTTTGTTAGCAGCACCTGGTAATGAAACCCCGAGGCTGTTGGCTCCTCTGTTCACACAGTGGCCTAGTCAGGCTGCACTCTCTCTCCCTCCTCCCTGCTGCTCAGCAGCCTCAGAGGATGCCCACTAAGTAGTCTCTGGTTAGTGAGGAGATGAACTAGGATTCCTCCTCCCCGTCTTGGTTCCTGCACCCCTTCAAAAAGACCTCCCCTTTGAACGCTTCATAACTTCTGTCCTAAGCCTAAGTTACAGGCCTGGGAAAATGCTGATATAGCAAGTCCTCGGTGTATCTGCTTGACCACCTCCTGGAAACCAAACAACTGTAACTTTTCAAGATAACCCTCGGCATCTAGTCACAGTTGAATCGTTAATTTAACACAACCTTCTCCCTCCCTTATTGTTCCGCAACAGCAACTGCTGACTCTTTCAAAGCCCAAGCCCCTTTCCTCAAGCTGGTATTGCTCTAACAGTGCCTGGCCCTTTCCTCCCTTGGAGAGTAAGACACATTTCTTCTTCTTGGTGGATTCGTTCACCATCTGCATCACTGGCCATCCTAACAGAAGAGCCAGGATTACATGTTCCAACAGTTAAATTTCTTTGAGAACCCATCAGGGTCCTGGATAAGACTGAGAACAATTGCTGGTTCCTCTCTAGCTGAGACCAGCTTTTCTTCAAAGGGAGCCAGTAGAATTCCTATTCTGATTTTCCATTCAGTCAGCAGGGAGTGGTAGTGGAGGAGATAGAAGGGAAGCAAGAGGGAGGGAAAGGGCAAGTCCAAACAAGGAAGTTCAGAGAGCACAGATATGGTAGAGGAGCTATAGAAGGGGGAAGAATAGGGTGTAGGCATTTATTAGCTTCCAAAGAGTTCAGAGACCATCTTTAACATTTTTTATTGTTTTTTTTAAAATGTTTTTTATTGATTCTTACAGAGAGAAGAAGGAAGAGGAATACCTGAGATTCGGGTTGGAGGAGGACATCCCCTTTATCTTTGGAGCTGAATGAGTTCAGCTCTCATTTATACAGCGAAGATTTTTGCTCAGACTCTCAGAAAGCATTTCTAATGGAAAAGCCAAAGTTAAAAACCAGTCACCCATTTTTCCTCCTATCTACCTTAGCCTGGGTTCTGTCAACCCTTAACCTTAGGTCTATCTCGAGGGTTTAAAAGTACAGCTCAAATAAAGTCAGACCCTCTACCACAAGCAAGGGAAGGTCTGGGATCCTGGAGACAACTCACCCAAGTTCACGTAAAGTGACGGGGAGCCAGCAGGCTCAATGAGCCTTTTGCTGGATGCTAGCACCCACTGGGCCTGGGTCCACAGGGTGGTCCTGGGTAAGTTTCTTTGGAATCCTGATGACTATGCTAAGTGAAAGTCAACATAAGAAACATTCAAATCTACAGAGAATTTTTGTGAGTTTATTTGAGTCAAATTGTCTACAATTGCAGGAAGCAAAATCTTAACGGATTGAGATAATGCTCCAGAGAATGGTAGTTTTGTACCTTATGTTAACATTACTAGAGGCCCGGTGCACGAAATTTCGTGCAGGGGGGGGGGGGGGGTCCTCAGCCCAGCCTGCGCCCTCTTGCAGTCCAGGACTCCTCGGGGGATGTCTGCTAAGCCAGCACTTGGACATCCCTCTCACAGTCCGGGACCCCTCGCTCCTTACTGCCCACCTGCAGCAAAGGTGGAAGTGGCTCCCGCCATTGCTGCTGCACTTGCCAGCCGTGAGCCCAGCTTCTGGCTAAGTGGTGCTGCCCTTGTGGAAGCACACTGACCACCAGGGGGCAGCTCCTGCATTGAGCATCTGTCCCCTGGTGGTCAGTGCGCGTCATAGCGACAGTCGTTCTGCCATCTGGTCAATTTGCATATTAGCCTTTTATTATATAGGATATTATATAGGATAATCAAAAGAGTGGATGCAAGTGGGTTACATGAAATTCACTGGTGATAGATTAGGGAAGCGGGAAAATGCAAAGCAGAAAAACCTTTGGGATTGGATGAAAAGTAAAATGATAGACACATACTTCTTTTACT